TTCGTCCCTGAGCACTTTTTTTAAAAATGTTTATTATTCCTTGTTTGCCAGTTTGAGGTGTTTAAGGTTCTGTATTACACATTCCTGGGATATTATAATAATTAAGATATCAACAATATCGATTCACAATTGGAATAATAAATTTATGAAAAATTAATTGCTTATCCTTCACACATTTGAGGAATGACGGGCTCGTGTTATAAAAACGCTGAATAACCAAGAGCATTAATTTGTTTTACAATGTGAATTATGTTTTCATGCTATTACCTAATCTAAATATGCATGAATATCGCTGTTTCACGCCTTGGAGTTTATCTCTACTTACTTGTCGCGATAACAGAACGGACCACTCGAGAATTATGGGATTTAAACGTAACGAAAGCATCTAACGCGAGGGGCGGGTTATCTTCAAGAGGCTGTGGCAACCCTCCTCCTCCAACGATGAGCGGGCGCGGATTTCTCTCGCACTCCCACGCACACACGCACTCGCGCACGCGGTGCGTTCCGCGCGGGTGCCAGCGGCCCGGCGTGCTTTCTCTGGCGGCCGCGGGGGGCGGGGCGAGCGGAGCGGGCGATCAAGAGCAGCGCCAGAGCGCCTCATGACCACTTGCCTCAGCATGTGCGCATCCAGAAAATATTTCAGGGAGGGGCCAATTTCAGTTCTGACTACTAAATATTTTTGAAATAATAGTTGTTAATTGTTACTTTGAAATTAGCGACCCGGATGGCCGAGGTGCCTTGAGCATTTGACGACTCAGCTCAGACAGGCGCAGGTTCAAGTCTTGCCGTGGGGATGATTGATTGTTTCTTGCCTTGTACGTGCGTTGCAGAAGACCTTGTGAGTCTGCTGACCACAAACCGAGGAGTCCGGAAGTATGGCAGTGTGTAGTGTAAAAGGTTAATATGTGGTCCCATGAGTGATACTGAGGGTAACCAGCATGGATAGCCAAAATTGGCAACGCCTGAATCTGGAAAATCCCTGGATGAAAAAAAAAAATGTTAGTTTGAAATTTAAGAAAAACACGTATATTCATAATGTGCTTTAGATGTAACGAGACTGCTTTAGATTGATGAGATTTATATTTGGTAATAATTTTTTAATAAATTGAGTAAAATTACTAAAATATTGGCTTTGGAGAGTGGGCATGGTCCCTGTGTATGCCCCTGCCATGGACCCTCTTCTCCACTCAATCCACTTTGGGATTCAAATGCAAAAACTGCAATGTGTCGAAGCATTTTTTTTAGCGTAGAAGGTGATTGATATCAAAACTCTCTCAGCAGACTCATCATTGGATTTTAATGAGCGATTTGCGACACTTTGCGATGTGCACCAACGTACCGTCGTCTTCTCACAAATTAACGCGAGCGGCAAGTGCGCACTTTCAACGCATCTGCATGCTACAAGAGAAAGTGAAAATGCAAAAGTGAATGTAACTGAATATCGCGCCAGCACGCGCTAATAAGCGACCGGTTGGAACCGAAAAAAAAAAAAAATCTGTAATAAAGATGGAAGATTCCCTGCTGCAGCTAAATTCTCCAGTGAACGCGTGCATGTACCATCCTACACACGCGCGCAGAGATGCCGTCTGACTGTTTAATTGGTGTTTCCGGTCGCGTCAACTGCTAGGTTATTAGCATCGTAAGGGTATTGCGTGTTTTTATCGAGTATCTTTCCCCACCTGGATGGCGAGATCCGGCGCCGACCTACACGTCGACTTGCACCGGGTATCTCCCACCGGCGGTGCACCGCTCCAACCGAGATAATCTCTAAGATCCCGACCGGTCTCCAGACATGGGTGGTTCATGCAAATGTAAGTATGGGTAAGTAAAGATGAGGATGGGACAGGGAAGATGAAAGAAAGATCGCGCGCGATCCGTGGCCTTTTTGTTAAGATACTGCTCCGGCATTCGCCTGGTGTTGAGCAGAGAAAACAAGGAAACCTGTCGATCACAACAACCGGCCACTAGAGTTCCCCTCCAGTCAGCGCCGCCTGAACTCGACCCAGCTATCTACCTAGTGTCGAAAATCCTGCCCCCGCCGGAACTCTAACTCTAGGACCTCCCGGTCAGAGCCACTGCAGTGATATCATTTGATGCCCTGCGCCACCCAAGTCGGTGAGAGATCGTCTGCTTTTTCAGCCCAAGTTGACTACCGAGATGGGCTCAAAGACTGTCCCGGCGCGCCTGAGGTTCGGGGAGATATTTTTACTTGCTGGATCGACTCAAGAACCGGTAGGACACAGCAGGGGCCGCAGTAGGTACCACGGACGCCTAATGGCAGGCGGGAGGGAGTCTGAAAACCGAGACGGTCCTGACAATAAATAAGGACAATAGACCCACGCGGTGCTGTGAGGTGTGGAGTGTGGTGTGGAGCGGTCAGCGGCGATAGAGATAGAGCTGATATCTAGAAGTGTCGAAGATCTGCACCGAAAGACGGGGATACTAAAGCTAGGCACCGTCGTCGGTCGAAGCCAGAGGCACTGGCAAGTGAGTATGAGTTTGATGCCTGGCACCGGGTGCGGTGGAAGATGGATTGTAGCCTGCTTTTTCAGCCAAGTTGAGCTACGAGATGGGGCTTCAAGAGACCTTGTGGTGCGGGCGCCCTGAAGGTTTTTCGGGGCGACTAGCTTTTTTACCTTGCTAGGATGCCGGATCAAGCCGGTAGGACACAGCAGGTGGCCCGCAGTAAGGTTAACCGGACGCTAATGGCAGGCGGGGGAGTCTGAAAAACCGAGAGACGGTGTCCTTGAAATAATTAAGGACGAATAGATCACGCGGTGGTTGTGAGGGTGTGGGAGTTAGTTGGTGTGGAGAGTGTGTGGGAAAGTGTGTGTGGAGTGTGGTGTGGAGTGGTGGTGTGTTTGTGGCATGTGTGGTGTGGGAGTTGTGGTGTGGAGTGTGGTGGTGGAAGTGTGGGGTTGTGGGAGTGTGGTGTGGGAGTGTGGTTGTTGGAGTGGGTGATGTGGTGGTGTTGATTGTGGTGTGGAGATGTGGTTGGGATGGTGGAGGGTAGTGGGTGTGGATTTGTGGAGTGTGGAGTTTATGTGATGTTGGGAGGTGTGGTGGTGGTTGTGGAAGTGTGGGGTGTTGATGTGGAGGTGTGGGGTGTGGAGATTGTGGAAAGTGTTTTGGTGATGATGGTGGAGATGGTGGTGGTTGGATGTGGAGTGTGGTGTTTGATGTTGAAGAAAAGTTGTGAGTGGCGGTGGGACGGGGCGGGGCGGGGGGCGGGAGGGGGCGGAGCGGGCGGGGGGAACGCACTCTACCATGGTTGCAGGATGGGAGAGGCTCCCTTTTCTTTTTCCATTTGGACAAGCGGTTCAAAGTAGTGATGGTTATTACAATACAGTTTTTACTGAGTCTTCAACATTTAAAAACCCATGTGACTCATTTGTATTAACGAGAACTCGCATTTTCGTTTTTTCGATTTTTTATTCCAAACTCACCAGGCTTGCCTTCCGCATTAGATTGAGTTACGGATTTCGATTCGGATTCAATTTGTAACAACAACAACAGGTGGAGCCAGTGCGGGAAGGGGGCAAAATCAACAAAAAAATCTAGTTTCGGAAACAAAATAAGTTGGTTTTCATGAGAGTGGTAGTCTAATGGGTTTTTTGTTAAATTTCATACTGGATAGATTAAGGATGTTTG